AGAGATTCGCTCAAGGTCATTTCCACGGCCGCGCGCAGCGTGCTTCCCCAGTGAGAAAACAAAACTACAAAAGCAAAACGCCCTCCCGAGTCGCTTAGTCCGCTGACTGTGCGTGCGCGGGAAGGAGAAGGAGGATGTCGACTCTCACGCCGTGCTGCGTTTATTCGTTATATGTTTGCATACTCTATTCAACTCAAGAAGAACTGCTCGGTATAAGTTGGCCTAAATACAAAATCGCAAATATATGGTTGTGCTACTCAAAAAAATAGGGGGCAGGAAAGTATACACAACGTTTCGGGCGGACGACCAGAAGGACGTCCGCCCGAAACGTCGTGTATACTTTCCTGCCCCCTATTTTTTCGAGTAGCACAACCATAAATTTGCGATTTCGTGTTTAAGCTCACTATGCTTGGCAGCACCCCGATTCTCTCGGGTGGCTAGCCCCATCGCCATCATGACCGTTTGTTTACGTCCGCCATTTTGGTATCCGTTGTCACGCTTGGCTCGGAAGAGCGGACACTTTCACACACGTCTCACATGAGCTTGCAACACTCCTTTCCTCCCAGCGCCATTTCCCACTGCCCCCCATCTCGCTGCTTCTTGCGACCCCCCGGGAGTGAGGACAGGCACTGTCCCTAGGAATCCCCCTCCTAGGGAAGGAGTGTCCCCGCACGGTTCCGGTTGTTGGCGGCTCCACACACTCCTTACGCCGTATCATGCACATTCTCTCGCGTCTACGGACTCTTGCCTGTCGTTTTAAAGTGGGGAAAAAAAAAGTATATTCTAGGAGGCTTTATTTAAGCGAGAGGGAATCACGCTGGCGGAAGAAGGTAACAACTCAGCAGCACGAGCTCGCAAAGTGTTTGAAAGACGACCCTGCCAGAGGCAACGGCTGCGCACTTGTACATGCGCAGCAAGCACTTAAAACGCCTTAATTTTTTTTTTTTTTTTTTTTTTTTTTTTGTACTGTTGCTGTTGATGTTGTGGGGGCTTGGGACCAGTCAAGCTGTGCTAACAGCCTTTTTTTTTCCAAGCCGCCCTCCAACCTGTATTTTGTTGGAAATGAACTCCTATTCTTATTATTATTATTTCATTAAATCTGTTCTATGAGGTATGTGGTCAATTTTCATTATTTTACTTGCGTGGTAGAATCGGCAGCAATTTACTTTTTGATTATCTGAAAGCTAAATCTGCCTGCGTGTTAGAATCATGCAAACAGTTTCTTTAAATAAAGAGGTGGCAGAGGGAAACTACCAATACCAGCTTCATAATCCTTATTTATAACGTGTTTTAAAGGTAAGTCCAGATATAATGAACTACTGATAAAACGACCACTTTTCGTGGAACTATCACGTTCGTTATAAGTGGCTTTGACTGTATGCTAGTATACTACTGCATCAGTATTGTCAGCACAATATGTAAATGCTGTGCAGCCAAGGGCACGATAGAATGAGCCACCCTGTACTTGCCACCTAGCTAGCGCAGCAGGAGGCGAAAGCTTCCATCCTATTAGAAGAATGAAGGGGGCCGTTCAGTCAAGTGAAGTCTTGCCTTCTTTTTTCTCGTCTCAAGGATGGCGAAGTGATGCTGAGGAACTTCCTGGGCAGGGAGCCAAGCACAGAAGCATTCCTAATCAGCAAGGGACTGTCCACTGCAGTTCCAGCATCATAATTTTTCTTAACAAAGAGAAGCTGAGCAATGCTCATTTTGAATAAATGCTTTTTACAATCTCGTAGCACGTCTTTTCATTTAAGAATCTATTCATTCCAACGAACAGTTCGAGTGTGCTAAATAAATTGTGCGAATTGGGTGGAGTAGTCATATGGCTTTGCATGGTCCACACTCATAATATTGGGTTGTCCGAATCTACCAGTTTGGGAATTACTGGACCAAGAATAGGCTTAGTGGAAACTGTTACCGGACATTGAATGAAGCTAGATACCGTTGGCTCAGTGTAGGCCTGCATACGAAGCAGAAAATTGAAAGTGATAAGAAAAAAATGAATGTCAGCAAATAAAAAGCTCGAGGTACACCTAAGCACTTCTGATGAGTCGTGAATGCAAAAGCATGCGAGTCGCTTGTCCGCTCCCTTTTTCGTCTGCTGTGTACTTTTCGTCGCCGGTCAGAACGCGTGCTCCCCTGGTGACCTTAAACGCTGCGTGTTAATGGCGCGCTGATGGACACGCAGCGCCGTGGGGTGAGCGGTCGTGGAAACTGACGAGCGCAGCGGCCAATGGGAGCCCCGTCGATGCGCGCCAGCCAGTGGAACCGAAGGCAAAATCGCGAAAACTACGCCGTTTTCGAGCTTCAAACTGATGACATCAGCTCTCTCCGTGGGACAGTCAATGCTTTCGCATTAGAAGGAAAGTCAAAGAAAGAAGCCACCTTTGGCATAGACTAGAAATCCCTGTGCTCTGACAGGTACTATCGGGGAAAAATGAAATGCGAACAGAAGAGCGCGTGGCTCGCGGTACAGGCTGCGCCACCTGGAAGTGAGCCTAGGGTCGAGGGTGCCTGGCCTACTCCGATGTGTTCACGCCCTTCGCTCTGCGCTCCCCAAGCTTTGGCAGTGCGCCCCTCGGTGCGCTGAAAGCTATCACCGCTATCTTTGCTCGCTCGGCGTGTGCGGCGAGCTTCTTCGCACCGCACAGATAGCGGTGATGCTTGCAGCGTACTGAGAGGCGAGCTGCCGAAGCTTGGGGAGCGCTGAGCGAGAGGCATGAACACATCAGAGTAGGCCACGCACCCTCGCCCCTAGGCTCACTTCCAGGCGGCGCAGCCTGTACCGCGAGGCACGCGCTCCTCTGTTCGCATTTCATTTTTCCCCGATAGTACAAAGGATACCATCAAAGTTGGAACTGTAGGAATGCTACTTATTCTACTTCATGGCCACCTTATGTAGGTTTAAGCCTGCACATTCAGTGGAGTCGGTTGTTTCGCACATTGCTTTCATGACGTGAACAGCAAAGCGATGTTCTGGAAATTATTCTCTACTCTGAAGAAGCTGAAATTTTAAGCCCTCTCAGTAAAAAATTGGTAGCGACCTTTGTCTATTGGGAATAAGTGTCTCACGTGACACATTTTCCTGCTAAATTTTGCGGAGAAACAATGGTTGAATAGGTCATGTTTAAGCCCTAAATAAGCTACGCTTCAGAGTACCGACACTTATCCATCTTGGGGCTTAAAATCATTGTTGCCAGTTATCTGAAATCGCAGAAAATACTTTTCCATCCTCCAAAAATGTTTGAACAGTTCACGACGGAGCGAAGCATTATTATATGAGCTTCCTAACACCGAATCCAATGCCAAGGAAGTCACACTTTTGAATCATGACGATCGGCAGTTGCGTCTGCTCTGCATCAAGCACCAAGATGGCGGCATCCACACCAACTCCGGGTAGCCGGATGCCGATACTCCAGGCGTAGCTCATTTAGTGGCTCCAAGTCACATGACATCGATTTGAAGGAGAGCTCGTGCTGTGCTCTGCCGTGCCCGCTAAAATGAAAAAAACATTACAGGGCAGCAAATTGATGGTTGAGGCCAATTTGTAGGAACCACAGGGGTGATTATCTATGAATGTCATAGCATTTATCATTGCACAGCTACGTGCTTATGTACAGTCACAAGCACGTGGTCACGTGATCCGACGTCCACTAAGGACGTCAAGTCCTCGGAGGTCAACCTCTAGGACGACGTCGAGGGAGACATCTGAAACGACCTCTAAGACGATCCCTAGAACGACATCAAGGGCAACATCTAGGAAGAGCCCAAAAACGACGTCAAACAAGTCTGGGACCTCTAGGATGACATCAAGGTCGTCATGCCTTTTGAAGAGGGTGCAAACGTGAAGGGGTGCATACTTCCACTCCACACAGCGAGCTGAAATTGTCTACTGCACATGAGGAGGACAGAATATACATAGCTGAAAATCTTTAGTAGCTTAATAATGCCATCGCATTAAAAAACGAATGGGAACGGTTGGCACAGGTTTACGGCTCGCGGTTGTTGTATGCGAGCAAGGCTCGGCAGTGCTCGGGAAAAGAGCGCTAGCGCCACCTGGTGGGTTCGACGCTGTCTCGTGCAGAGGCAGCCGCTTTAATCCACTACTCTATACACTCCTCCTGTGCTGAAGCTCTGAACTGTGGCACCCTGAATGTGGGTAGTACAAGCTTACCTAATTAGGCCTCGAGCTACTTGCGGCTCCTTCGCCAAACTTTGTTTCATTCTGTGTGGTGCTGAAGAACGGAAAAACACCTTTTGACGTCCAGAATTGGTTAGATTCAAAGCCGTAAGACAATCAAAAGTGCCGGATTCACGCCACCACCAATAGGGTATGCGTCTCCCCTCTGTGTGGCGACGTCAAATGTGTCCCATGTTATTTTTTTTTACTATAGGTTTTGTACAGGTAGTCATCATAGCCACAGAGCCCGAATTCCACATTAAACAAAAAATTCCTAAGTGATATTGATAAACCGTGTATTACGCCCCCTTCGCAAACACCCAATTTTCATGTTTTCATAACGATATGCGAATTTCAACTTTACAACAGAAAATGGGAGCTCGATTGTATTGGACTTTTCCGAATAATTCATTCAGAGTTCTCAATATTTGCTATATTGTTTGCCACCCGTTTTCACAAAATGCAAACTTTTATAAAGCATGGAAGTATCTTTTTTTACGCTTCAAGACTTGATTATTAATTGATACCTTATTGACAGTCATTTTCTACACTCCAAGAGGAGTTTACAACTTTATAAGACACGAATTTGCATATTAACATACTTTGGATGTAACTGACGAGCAAGATTATTGCCACGTTTCGAGAAACTCTACACAAAAAATATTGATGTTCAAAACCACCACTTTTTTGTTGGTCTACTTGGTTCAAACACTAAATATAAGTATTGTATCGAAACAAATACATGACTAGCAAAGTGCCAACAAGTAACACATGTCCATTAAAAAAAGAAACTAAGAAACAGGAAAGCACTTGAGCCAAATTTACTATTTACTGAAATCACAATTTTTATTCACTTACGCTTGGGTACAATGCTATTTACATAAAATTACATAAACGAAATTTCTGCTTCGTATCGACAGAAAGGGGGAGGCAGACACAGAAACAGTAGCAACAGTAGCTGCCATATATCACAAAATACAAAAAAAAAGATCTGCAACGCATTTTGCCAGAACATTTTTTTTTTTCCGATGTTCCAACAGACTTTCAATTTTCTAGACTTTTCAAGTACTGATGCACTGACATGTTTGAAAAGGTGTGATGTGCAACAATGATCCATGGTTGCCAAACCCCCATTCGTAGTAGCTCTTCGCTTGCTCATAAATTATAGTTAACAATCCACAAGCTAAATGCTCGTGCCTCCAAGGAAACACTGGTAAAGCTATACATACAAGTTGGCATGTTTCTCTAGAAAAACACGCATATGACTGTACAGTGTTATGCAAAATGAAAAGACAAAGATACGAAAAATAAGGGCCGTTTCTCGCTTTTCGAGCACGTCTAACACGGGAAGTGACTTAAGGAAAGCGCACACTGCAGGTGTCGAGATATGGAGACGGTCTAATAAATTAGTTGCAACGATGTAAATGCTTAAAAATCGTCGGGAGGAGATGCCGGCGGTCGAGAAAAAGAGTGCAAATTCAAGCAAAAAACAAAATCTAGATTTTCAGGCGAGCGACATAAACGCATCTGGAGAGCAAGCAATAAAGGAGATTCACAAGTGAACAAAAAACAAGGACGCAAAAATATCCTCTGGACGACATGACAAGATGCAAAGGAGAACAACTTTTCTTCGTTGCACTTCACGAGACTCTCAGCCCAAGTTTGCGGCCGAAGCGCACAGCAACCAGGGGTCTGTGTGCCTCGCAGTGTTTCGCACAACGCGTTTCCGTGACCAACGAAACTTTCCTCGTTAACAGATTGCAGTACCAAATCGACACGAAATTCAGAAAAGCGTGGTTTTAGCGCACGTATACACACCAAGCAAGCAGACAACCGTGCTTCCTTTCACTACTTCTGCCGCCCTCGAAAACCGCGAGGCACCTTTGCAAAATTTGTATCGCTCGACGTGGTAGAGAGACACAAGTGCCGCAAAGAAAGATTCATTGCACGACGCCAATAGTTCCAGACGTTGGTCGTTTTCAGGCCACGGGCCTAAACGATATGCGACACCGATTCGGCAATGCGTGACTGACATCTCGATTAATCCCTTCACGCGAAGTGTACAAAGAACACGGATTTGTTTCAACAGGCATTCAAACAAGTAACAACTACTACACGCACAAAAATCGCGTGCGTGAAAAAGAAAGAGAAAACAAACACTGCCGCTTCCGTGGACGATCGTATCGGTTGCACTTTTTCCCCAAAAAACGGGGCAGATCTCAAATGACTCCAACCATGTGGAAGGTCAATAAATAACGAGGGCAAAAGGCCAAACCCAAAGATGTTTGGAAAGAGAAAAAAAAAACAAAAAAAAATTATAGACTCCACGTTCACCACTGGGGGAAAGAGTTGAACGCAAGAATAAGGCAGATCCTAGATTTGGACGACAGATTGCAAATAAATACTCCCCGTAACTACACGCGCACCGCACGCGCACATTGGCGCACGTGCAGACTCTCCTACTTCTCTTGGACAGTAGCCTAAACCCCTTGAGCTGCGTTTGACTGCCCAAACTAACACAAACGGCGGAAACGCCGCGCCTCCTTCCCGACCACACGGGAGGACAACAAGTCCGGGACCGGCACTCCTGAACGTCAGGCTCATCGAGCGTCCTCCAACTCGCCAGCGCACAGGAAAGACCCCACGTGTCTCTGTTTAGCCGGGACGAACGAGAAATGCGGCACCGCAGTCGCCGCCTACCGTCGAACACCACTTTGCGGCCAGGCAAACGGCGGCTTGCTCCCTTGGCTCGTCTTGACTCGACGCTGGTTTTCGGTGTCCTCCGTTTCGCCGGAGCTGTTCCCAAGCCGGGGCGCCGCCGGGACGAGCGCAAGTCCAGGATGCCGACAAGACTCGAGCACCGACAGGCCTTGGTTGCGAATCTGCTCGTCGGCGACGATCCGCGACGAACATTCTCGTCTACCGAAAACCTTGCCCGCGACGTGTTGCGTCCATGCGCCACCGTCGCTCCAATGCCGGTCGGTCGGACGCTCGAGAGGGAGGCCGCCACCGCGCTAAGCACCACTGGACGACACTGGTTGAACTCGGTGGATTCGCTTCTTCCCACTGTTGCTAGTTTGCAGCGGGCTGGCTTGCTGGGAGTGCGGGGCTGGTGTCGTTTTTGGGTGTAAGCTCCTCCGGGCTATGGGCGTACTTGCCCGACACCCCACCAAAAAAAAATAAAAAGAAGTACAATGTCCCTAATTGGAAACGAGTCCCGTCGACCACTTCCTCTCTAGCAAGATGGCCACTATACAAACTCGTTGGTACCTGGCGACGTCAGTGGCTCCATACTCTGAAAAGAGATGACAATTCACTCTTTGTAACGGCAATGCCAACACGACAACCGGTTGGAAAGTATGATCTCCCAGTACCAAATAAAGCCCGTTTGCGGTAAACACCTAAACGACCGGGACGGTCGCTGAGGACAGCGGGAACCATTGCACTTTTCTGTGGATCATGCACACATGCTAATAACCACGTCTGTCATATAATAGCCAGATAGTGCCACCATACAGGCGTCTTCTGGTGACTAGACGACAAACTGGTCACGAGAGTAGACCTGGATTCTTTAGTCTCATTCGCGCAAGCTCATGCAAATAGCTTCGATGGAGTTGGTGCACTGCAGAAGCCACGCCAGCCTCGACGACGCAGCATAAGATAGTTGACACCGAGCGAAAAGCATTTTAAGCGGCATCTGTTTTCCGTCGGCAGCATGAATTTTGCCATGCTGTCTTCGTGCCGACCGAAATGACAGACCAACAAGATGAACGCAACTGTATGCACTACATAAGATGGCACCCGAGAGATTTAGATGCCGGTGGTATGAAGAAGGAGAGAAAGATTGTGCTCACCGGCGGGTACGACCTGGCCGGCTGGTACTGGTTCTTTTCTAAGCTAAACTGGTCTTCTGTTGTCTTCCTGTACACTGGGTTGTCAAAGTTCATGCTGGTGATGTTTCTCCGCAGGCATTGCCGGTACACCACATACCCAATCTAAGAGGAAAATGGGGGGCACAAGATTTAGAACTTTTAGAGGTCGTGGCAACAGAACAATGAGTCATCACTACAACGGCTGAAAAGAGATAGTACAGTGGTCTTCAAACCAACCGGCGGACACTTCATGCGACTTCCGTTTAGCTATTTCAGCGCCATCTCATATCCGTTGGTATTCTATTAAGTCTTTCCGGTTTACGCCGGAAAGTTTATTTAATAGGATGAGATACATATTATTGTTGCTGCTTACAGATTTCAAAAATTATCCTGGTAAGATGAAACAAATATTTTGGTTAGCTAAAGTTTCGCCCTGATACTTTGCTCTCATTGGCCGGTTGTTTTTTGTATTTTGACCGTTGAGAACAGTTGCGCGTCGGCTGCCGCGCTCGCGGATGCGTCGACTGCTCGACGGCGCGTGTGCCAACGGTGCGGTGGTGGTTTTCGTTTGCGGCAGCGGGCAGTGGCGTTGACCTATTGGTTATCGGTCTATTTCTTCTACCAAAACACGGAGGAAACGAAACCTTGTCTATTGCTCGACTCAGTGGTGCTCTAATTCCAGTGGCAAGATCTCTGCCAAGTTCTTTGGGTTCCCGGTCGAGTGACGAAAGGTAAAGACGGGCTGTTATACTTTTGGTTATACAGTTTCGGATTGCCGAAAACTTGCTGGTGCATGTTTCTTTATGGTAGAGTTATTGTAGAAGGTCACAAGGGATAGCGCATGTATCTTAAAATGAGCGGTGTGGGCGGTATCGGTGTTAGAGCACCGCAGCTCGTGCGTGGAGCAGCTCGCTGCAGAAGGAACCTGCGAGAGACCGTGGCGATCGAATCGCTGTCGCTAACTACCGCAAAGTTAAATGTGTTATTGCAGGTCTGTGAATACTTGAATAGTAGTTTCGTGTAGATTTTGTTACTTTGTTGTGCCGTGCAGTGAACTTTTTTTTTTGTTTTTTTTTCCTCTGTATAAAGAGCGTGCCTAATAAAAAGAGAACTTGCAAAAGAAGTTTGGACTTGTGCTCAGAGTGGCGATGTGCGCCCATCTTAAGCCGCTAAACAGCAGCGGCTGGGCGTACTTTGCATTCATTGAGTGACCATTTTATGAGAACTGGCTGTCACTGAACATGCACTGTTGCCAAGCTGATATCAATCGAGCAACGCAAAGTCAAGTGCAATCGTTTCGGAGCGTCTGACATTCGCAAAAAAAAGGTAAACACATTGTATTGTAGAAGAACGAGACGGCGGCAATGGGAGCAGTTCCCTCTTCTCTCAATATCAGCGACAATAGGATGCAAATTCGTTCGGAGTTCGGAGGCTGCTCCGAACTCCGAACGAACTCGCATCCTTTTGTCGCCGAGGGTGAGAGAAAGGGAGAGGAGGACCCACACTTGTCAGACCCTCTCCCATAACCAAGCGGTTGCCATGACGACGGCGCGCGTATTGTTTTCTCTATTTTTTATTACTTTTGGAGAAACCCAACGCCCGTTAGGGGAGATTTGGCGCTGCCGTCTGCAATTGGAGTCCCAATGGGAGGTATAGGAAGAGTCCGCCGGTTGTTCAAACGCCCATATATAGCAAGGCAAACCTTGAAGATAATTGGTCTTCACGAAGCAGTTTGTTACAACAGCATTTTTCTGCCCCAAGTTGTGCTGTACAGTAGGGCATCAATAAGGAATGTTGCCGACGCAGAAATTTCTGCCATTACGGAGATGGTTGCACATAAAGATTGTTGTTGAAACAAAATTATGTCAATATATTTTCAATATACTTTACAAAAAGAGAAACTGTTACAAAAAGAGACCGTTTAGAAAAAGACCGCTAGACAGAGAGACTGTTACAGGCAGAAAGACCATTACAGGCAGGAAGACCGTGATAAACAGAAAGGCGGTTAGGAACAAAAAGGTTGTTACAAAAACCGATTGCTACAAATGAGATTCGACCGTATGCAGCACCATTCATCAGGGTCAAAACGGCGACAGTAGAACGACGCTTACCAGGGTGAAGATGATGGCAAGGCCCCCCAGGACACCGATGACGATGCCCGCGAGCTTGCCGGTGTCTAGCTTTCCCAGCAAGTCCCTGTGTCCGACGGAGGGCTGGGCAGACACCTCGTTGTGGCTCGCATTATACACCACCGTTTCGTCCGTGACCGCTGCCACCGTCGAAGGTCGTAACGTTGTTGACACCACCGTTTCTACAGACAACAAAGAAAGAAAAATATGCCGTCAGAACAGAATTTGAGAGAGAGTGCCAAGAAAGCTCGCTTCGTTCAGACTTGTACAGTCAGTGACGACTATGGCATGACAAACTAGCATCAGGACGACTATACTTCGTTTCATCGCAAGTCCGGGCGCCATCGTGGGTTCGAGCACATGGTACTTTATGTAGTAAATAGAAGAAAAGAAAGATGGCTGCCACGAGACACACGGGCTATAAGCTTCATCGATGCCAGACCCTTCCGAACAAAGTTGTTTTGTGTATTTTTAAATTGTGTAAATAAAACGCTACGTAGACTAACATACTTCCAAATATACTGACATTCTTACTAAAATCATGGGTTACCGGACAGTCACTGCGTTCGATTTGCTTAGCAGATGATAGAACACTGAGAAAAATAAAGAATGCCATGATGTTGCACTTTTGGAGCTGCTCGTTTGGCCTCATTGGCTCGCAGAATTAGGTGAAACGAAGTGTAGGCGAAAAAGTGAACAACAATCGAATGTCAAAGCATGCAGACATGCAGGACTGAATGCCCACGGCAGAGAAGCGAACCTTTGAACGATTCGACAGGACGGATACCTAGCTCAATGCGAAACATGCATATCATTCTGTGCACTCTGCACCGAAAACAAAAAAGACGCAAGAAACTGAACAGCAAATCGAATACAAACTACATAAATGCTCGCATCAAGCATTAGAATTGGGCAACAGCAACCAGAAACGGCATTCAAACGGCAAGTACTGACAAAAAAATGTGAAAGGTCAAAACAGATAGGGGCAAGCACCACTAATTGGGCAGTTAAAAAACTAGACATCTGAAAGCTCATCCAGCCAAGATTTTCAAATTACTAACGTGCCTCGCCGCTCCGGCGGAAAGAGGGGGCATAGTAGTACCTGTTTCAGACGAATTGCAAAGGTTGGAGCTAGGAAAGGGCAGCGACGAGTTTGACGAAACAGCGCTCGTTTCGTTAGAGGTGCCACACCCCTTTGGAGCTTCTGATGTTGTCATGGAAAAAAGAAAAGAGGAAAGAGAGAAAGAGAAGGAAGAGAAAAAGTCAAGAGCAGGTTAGTCAAGCAGCAAAGAAGATGCACACAAGTCCAAGAATGGTAAAAAAAAGAAAAGCTTTAGAAGCAGAAGGTGAAATCCATAAACATGGCAGGAGTTATGGCAGAAGCTTGAAATTGACGTCCTTGCCAACAAGTCTGAACATGGTTTGCGATAAAGAGCAAACCTGGTGGTCTAGCATTTTTGCCTCAGTGGCCATTGGGTTTGGGAGAATAAACATGAAACGTAGAAAGCTAAGAGGGTCTAGACTGCTGCCAATCCATTGACAATAGCCAATAGAGATGGACTGTAGCCAATTCGGACGGCAAGGGGGTTGCAATAATGTCAGAATGATGCCGAATTTTGATTGGCTTTGATTGCTATCTTTATCAATCAGCCAATAAGAGCTCGAGGTGCTGACATCATCGCAACCCCTGCGCAAGAAGCACACAAACTTGCGCTCCGCATAGATACACTTGTTGAAGAAACACACTTAGTAGAGAAGTAGTTGAGTATTTAGGAAAGGAGGAAGCACCAAAATCTTACAATGCGAAGACCACATCGGCCTTCGAGATGCGAACCGGCATGGTGTAGCCTTTCTTTTTCGAACAACCTAGCACGCATCTCCCGTACAAACTTGGCGTGCTTCGGGCCTCCAGATGGAAAGCAGTGGGGGACTCACCGACGATCCTGCAGTTATGGCCGTCCTCCTGCAGCTCCATCTTGTTGGGGCAGGCACAAGAGAACTTGGCCGAGTGGGGGCTGATGGTGGGGGCCGGCAGGCAAAGGTGAGAGCACTGGCCGTTGGTCGGCTTGCAGTGGTTCTCGCCTGTGTGACAACAAGGCGCCAGACGGTTGGTGCAGGCACGCTAACGGCATTGCCTCGCAAGTTGGTGACGGCATGTCACACTGTACGCAAGCGAGTTGTGACCGCTCTCCCCATTTTAGCTTTACTTTCAACAGGGTGTTTACTAATGTGACGTTTCCAAATTCCTCCAGCTTCTCCGGGTTTTCCCTGATTACTTCGCTCAAATTTTCTGACAGACCCTTTAGGGAAGAGGACGCGCCTGAACTGCAAATTTTACGCGAAAATCTGCCGAAATATCTGACAGCCAACAGAGTGATGGCCAAGTACCAGATCCCATTATCCTTATCGGTCCATTAATCTTCCAATATGTTTTGCCAAATAAATGTCCTTTAAATATACCACTGGGCAAACATAATGGTGCGAGCACAAGCAGAGAAGTTAGTCTTGGTGAATGCGTTTCAAGAGGAGGCGATTTGGTTTATGTCAAGACTCTGAGCAAGGATTTGCGTCGGTACGCCGGCAGAGTCGTGCCCAATGTGCGTCACACCGGACACACTTTGTTTACAGTTGGAGTCCATCAGAGAAAGGAAAACTCAGTATCCCTGACCGATGACGACGGAAATTTTCAGATTTCTCCAGACCCGCCGAATTGCCGGACAATTCTCGGTTTTCCCCGTTTTCTGGCATGTAGACACCCTGTTCAACCTCCCCTGGAACATTTTATAAACGAAACCAGGGTCACAACGCTCAATCATCGGTACTCTCAGCAGACATTGGCCTGTCTGCTGAGAGTATTAAAATGATTGCCAAGGTACCAACAAATGGTTATCTCGTCCCGTTGACGATCAGTGCTGGCACTTCCAGAAAGACAACTGTAAAACAATTCTAAATAAATTTTGTGGTGGCTTAATTTTCACAAATTCCACGTCTCGTTCCTGGAGGAGTATGCTCCAAAAAGCAGCACCTTGGAAACTTCAGTATCTGGCTTGTGGGTATGAAGTCCCTCGCAGTTTAAGAGGGAGAAAAAATATATTCAAAGAATTAGAGCCAACGCTCATTGTATTATGTCTCAAAAAAAAAAAAAGAGAATTCGAGACGACCACAATTCGGAGAACGCAAAATTAATGCAGCAGCACCGTACCTGGGGGCTGCTTGTAGCTGTGGTAGACGTGAATGTCCATCGGAGAATAGACGCCATTGGCCAGACCGGTCAGGTTGGCGCCGGTGAACTTGTTCACCTTGTTAATCACTTCAGACTCCCAGTCAGTCCAGTAGAGCCAGTCCTGGACAACGCACACACAAAAAACAACAAGATTGTATAAGTGACACTCTCAACTGAACAGATGGCTAGCATTCTATAAACATTAAAATGACTTGGAGCACCGACAGGACAGGAAAAATGTACCTCGAAGACATCGAGCGAGAAGGGGTGCTTGACTAGGATCGGGGAGGACAGGATGACTCGGCGGTTATTTCCGTTGTAGTCCGAGCTGCCGATGAGGTGCAGCTTGGCATCCACCCAGAACAGCTGCTTGGACACAAAGTCTGCAAGAACACAGACGAGAACGGTCAGCCAACGAAAGACCGGACAGGCGGTCACACTTTTGGACGCCTGTCACAGGCGAGGCTTACCGATGGCCAGGCCGTTTGGCCAGAGGATGTCTGTGGTGACGATGGCCGACCGGTGCGAGCCGTCCATGCCCGAACGCTCAATCTTGGGCTGCCTGCCCCAGTCGGTCCAGAACATCCACCTGGGGAAAGGAACACCACACTTTTTGAGCCAGATGCAGAGAACACCTCCCTGCTGGCAACTTTCCGATAATCGCATCGTAGGAGGCGGCATTCAGGGCACATTCAAACACCTCGTATTCCTTTTGACGTCCGCTGGTTGTCGTGGTTGTCCGCTCAACAAGAAACGTTGAGCGGACAACCACGACGTTTGAAAAAGATTGTGTACAAAAAAACACTGTCAGGCCCCGTTTACACAGATGCTCCTTCTCATGCTGCCCGGATCATTCTGGTGCGAAATGAAAGTCAGAAGAAAAAGGCACCAACTTCGTTTGTCCCAGGCAAAAGTCGTTTGCTAACTGGTTAGCAGACATCCGACATCTACAGCAGTTGGATGTTGTAAAGTTGAAGACGCTACAACATGAGTTTTCAAACTGGGCTCCTAGGAACCCGGGGGCTTCCCGGGGTAGCTTCAGGGGCACCCGGAGCTTTCTTGCTCGGCCGTCCCCGCCCCAATGTCGAGCGTTCCTCGAGTTTAAGCACCATTTCAGAAAATCTGAGCCACCCACCAAGGCACAACTCGCGATGCCAAACACTCCATAGCACGAGCGTCACCGTTTACAAGGTTTATGGGTGCCTGCACTGCTGTACTGCATCAATGCCGAGATCGAGAGCGGTTCCTCGGCCATCAAAAAACACTGATAGCCATTCCTCAAGACAGAAAAGTCCGAGAACCCCTGTGTCGCAACGCCTGCGAGTTGCACGTCGCAGATGTTTCGACAAAAGTGCTACACATACATCAGTATACTGCATCATAGAGCCACTCTGCGACGTTGCCTAGTCTTCACTCTCGTGAGATTTGCACGTGGGACGACATGCAGGCGACCGCATGCGTCGAAGAATGAGCGAAGCACAACTGGCACTCACCCCTCGAGAGGATTGACGACGATGGCGCGCGGCTCGTCAAGGTCTTCCGAGAAGAGGGCCTTGCGGTTCTTTCCGTCCAAGTCTGCCACAGAGATGAGGTTCTGGGCCGTGTCTGTCCAGTACACGTGGTTGTAGATCCAGTCCACCGCCAAACCATCGGCCACGTGGAGGTCCTTGTTGATGATCACCTTGGTCGGAGCACCCGTGTCGATCGGGGCACTGCAGCAGGAAGACCCCGTCCAGACTGAGTAACTCTAGCAACAGTAACTCAATGAAGATGACATTATGATGCTCTTGGAGACTACTCCACAGTCCCCTCGGATACTACCCCATAGTTCCCTCAGAGACCACTTTCATCATCCCCCAGAGACCACTTTCATGGTCCCCCTGGGGCCCTAATCTGCACGGTGGGACCAAGGAACCGGGGCATCGCCGCCTGCTGCCGATGTCCCAGTCCTGTGGTCCCGCTCGGTCGTGCCACGTAGATTAGGGCCCCTGGAGACCACTTTCACGGACTCCCAAAGAATCTCCTCTTTAGTCAAACGTGCACACACCTGCTGATCTCCTCTTTGACGGTGTCTGACCAGATCACGGTTCCCGTTCGGTAGATGTAGTCCATGGCGATGGTGCTCCTCAGCTTTGAGACCACCTCCACATACTCTCCCGTCTCCAGGTTGATCTTGCGGATGTCGTTGCGGTTGGCAAAGAGCAGAAACGGAACTCCCTCTACAAGCAAAAAGGTTAGTTTTCCGAGGTTAGAAGTGCTCTGCTGCATTTTAGACCTCTCGAAACATCTAAACAATTAATTGCCTTTTTAGTAAAGGCCCATTCACACAATTGTGTTCTCTCGAAACTGCTTACGAGAGAATGTGCAAGCGCAATCTACCCCAGGCAGCCCCGCAACCGCGTATAACTAGACTAGAGGTTTTGCGGCGGTTGAGAGATCAATAATCTACGCATTTATGAGAAATGATCGCTTTTAACATTGCAAGAATTATTTTAAGTCAGTAGTGGGGAACTGATGTGTAAAGAAATTAACAAATTTACGCAGATTCAAAGTCTTCCAGGACTTCCCAATAGACGGTGTCAGTGCTCTCTCTCGTCGTAAACGGTCACAGCCTGCCTTATAATTAAACTCTAGTCAAGCTACCTCAACTTTTCTTTGCTCGTAATAAACATCTTACTTCAATGCAGTCCACTTAGGAAATAGTAGTAAGAAAACCCAAAAATTCAGTCGTAAACGATGATCGTTGTATCCTAACTAAATACTGTTTTTAGTCTAGAAACACTCGAAACCGAATGTTACAGGAGGTTGTCGTTCTATGTGGTATCGACAGAAATGGACTGCACTGCACTGCACTAACAGTCACAAGCTATCACAACACACTCTGACACTTAAACACAAATGTGCGAACCAGCCTTTACAATAATATGCATTTTAAATATGAAACAGACCTGTGCGATCCTCTGGCAAAACAATGGCAGCCAAGTGTCCGAGTCGTAACGTACCCCAGAACTAGCGCTTCCAAAAAAAGAAAAGCCAAGGGTGCCACTCACCCTTAGCCTTGCAGCGGTGGCGGTCGCGCGGCTCCGGCACGTAGCCTTCGATGCACTCGCACTTGTAGCCTCCCTTGTAGTTTGTGCACTTCTGAGAGCAGGAGCCGGGAATCAGGCACTCGTCCACGTCTGCAGGAAGGCAGAAAACTGTTTCAGAGAGCAGCTCGACAAGAGACAGAATGAACCTCTTAAAAGGCTAAAGGCTTTGGCACACCCAAAAACGACGCATCAGTTCGTACCAAGGACTAGAATATGATGTCAACACACCCGCCCAAATTAGTTTGCCTCCAGCGTTACATATTTGGTGAGGAAACCTAAGCCAAACTGAAGCAAGAGAACCGGCGTGAAGAATGTGACGTCGGAGACTCCTTTGGAATGTTCCGATTCCCACGGCTACGTGAAGCAAGTTTTCTTTGAATACTGAACATTCTGGTGGTCAAACATTTACATTCCTTGTCAGAGGCATTATACCATGTGACATTGTCAGAGGCCCGACACCAAAATAATGTCGGAGATGGATAATGTGTTTGACTTTTAGTTTAGAGAGTTTTCCTGGATTTACCGTCGCAAGTCCTGTTGTCTTCGGTGAGCTTGAAGCCCGGGTGGCATTCGCAATGGAAACCGATCGGATCGTCCTTGCAGATGTCGGAGCAACCGCTGTGGCCACTGCTGCACTCATTTTTGTCTGAAATGAGCAGGACAACGTTACCAACTGCTTACAAAAGGAGCAAATTAAAATGGAGCTAATGTCGTCAACGGCTGCTGATGAGAAAATGAACTGAAAAAGCACCAATGAAAGGGGTACTCAGTCGATTTTTTGATCTACAAACCATAAATCTACATTTTCGGAATCACCGGCCTTTAACGGTTTCCGATATGCTATTTAGTATCGTGAAATCCAAAATAGTTATTGTGAATTCGGCAAGCGAAAATTATGCCGAAACCAACATTGAAATATACCCGCGCTTTTCAGTGCTGTGACATCAGCGGAAGGCAGACTTGCAGGTCGGGCGGGCAGTCTAAAAATGGGCTATGCCCAGCATTTGTTTCGTGCTGCTGCGCGGGTGCAGGAGCGAGCCTCCGAAGCATTCATTCAAAGCCATGGAACTGTCTAGTCAGTTGGGAACACAGTCCACAGTATAAAGAGTGAACCCCTGCCTTCCACTGACGTCACTTTAATTGTTGCCAGTAGGGACTTTCACTTTGAAACACACGGTGAGGATCAAAATTGTAAATTCAATAACTACAGGGAAGTTTTTTTTTTCCCCAAATATTTGGCTTACTATTTCGGCAACGTTTGTTGGTGTGTCTAGCACATTTTAGAGCAAGTCTGGGACTATGAAGAAAACGCTGGAGTACCCCATGAAAAAAACACTGGCACCCCCCAAAATATTTGCAAAATTTTTTGCCAGGCGATTTATTATTGTGTCGGAAGACCACTATTCAATCAATGTTTTGCTACAGTGTCACATATATTTTTTTAGACTCCTTTCAAATATTAATTGCTTCTCCTCGAAGCTCCAAAGCTACTGCAACAAGTGGAATAACCGTCCCCACGAAAAAACAAGAGTCTATAACCCTACAGAGTGCCTTGAAAAGTGATAGGCCTTTCATCAAGATGCTTGGGAGACAGACAGTTGTTGGGCAGACGATTGTCTTCCTCTACCGTGACAGAATTTAAACAAAAGTGTGGTTGGCTTAAAGGGATACTACAACGAAACTTCGGCACTTATTTTTTGGTCTATTCGCGTTCAAGGGAGCAGTATCACATCAGACACCAATCTCTTCTTAAAAAAGACACGAAAAGTAATTTTAAAACGAATTATGCAACTAGAAAGAGCACCTGGCAGATGCCGCTAATGCCTCGTTTGTAATGCCCATCTAGGAACCTTGACAGGTAGTCATGATAGCTGTCTCACCTCTAGCCACTACAAGAGGAAGAGGGGGGGGGAGGAGGAACACCCCTTCAGTGGCTGAAACGGCTAGGGCATCCTGACGTCAGCCTCGCCGGAGCTTTGTTCATCCTGAGACAGACTGTCACTATTGCGCCGGATGTGACATGCTCTCCACTGGCTGTTCTCCGAGCGCTTGCCAGAGTGGGCTCTTTATAACGAAAAATACAGCCATCAGGCTCAAAATACAAACGAGCGATTGTCATTTACGGATATTGTGGATCATAGTCAGCCTATTTCTGAACACGACGGGTATATTTCAAATTTCGTTGAACTACCCCTTAAAGTGACACCGTAAGGGAATACTCACGGCAGAGTTCACGAGGCTCGTCTTCGAAAGCACCGCAGTCATTCTTGCCGTCGCACACAAGATGCTTGGGGATGCAGTGATTGCCACCGCAGTCGAATTCGGTGTCGGGGTTGCATCGGTTCACTGTGGCAATTAAAAGCGGAAACAAGCTAATGAGGAATTTGCACCCCATTTACAAAATAATACGAAACATTAATTGAAATAACCTTACAGTATTGTAAGGTTCTTTTGATTAATCTACATCCCAGTACATGACATAACTGATTTAGTGATTGAATAATTAATTGAAGGGCAATGGTGCATCAGCACGTGTGAAAAGCCTGAACTACTGTTAAGGAGAGGAAAGCTACAGTAACTGGTGATTCGATAAAACAGTGAACATAAATAATATACAACCTTTGAATCGAAGAGTCGACACCTCTGCATCTAAGTGCAAACATTTATTGCATATATCATTTGCACAAAAAAAAAACAAGATTCCTTAGTATTATAAATAATTAGAAAGTATTTTTGTAGTACACAGAGGTAATGTATCATCCAAACTGCTGCCTGCATAGTGCATAATGAGAGATCCGAATTTCAATAAACCTGTTTTTTTTACAGCTTTTCTGCCCACCAGTTAAAACTCAAAAGCTTTGCCTAACAATTTATTCCCCTCTCTTTCTCTATCTCTCAACAAAACGAGCTTTGCCAATCGATCAGAACAGCGAAATGTGCTAAAAGCAGGCACTTTTGCGTTTGTAACGCTGCTACACAAAACACACCAGACCTGTCCCCGATCCGCGGCAAAACGGCGCCCGAGAGCAGCACACCCACCGGTCGTGTTGCAGTGGTCCTCGTCGGAGCGGTCCGGGCACTCCACCTTCCCATTGCACTCCAGCAGCCCCGGTATGCAGTGCAGGTTCCGGCACTGGAACTGGTCTGGCCGGCACGTGTTGGTGCAGTTGGCCTCGTCCGACTCGTCCGGGCAGTCCGGGTCGCCATCGCACTGCCACGACGTGTGGATGCAGTCCACCCCGTTGGCGCACTGGAACTCGCGGACCTTGCACGGGCTGGGTCGTCCCGTCGTGGGACAGTTGCGCTCGTCCGAGCCGTCCAGGCAGTCTATGTCCCCGTCGCAGTGCCACCGGTCTGGGATACAGCGGCCGTTGCTGCACATGAACTCCGCGCTGGAGCAGGTTACGTTGGCTGCGAGTAGAAGGGGAAGCGGGGGACTTGGTCAGCGGCATGTTGGTCAGCTTGCTACAACGTGCTAGTCCACTTGCTGCAACGTGTTGGGACACTTATCACTAGATGTTGGTTTACCCCTTATCCCTACCGTAATATGCCGATAGATGGCCTACCTGAAATAGAGGGCAAATCAGGTGAAAGAAAGTAAATCGACTTTCGGTGTGCAATAAAAAAAATTAAAAAGTTGGAAAAAAAAAGCCGGTTTTTGGATTTCGATTTGCAAAACTTGTGATCGACAATGTTTGATTATCTCCCGCCAAGGATAAGTAACCACTACTGCCAAGGTCACCACTGGCCAAGCCCTGGCATTGCTATATAGAAGTGGGCAATCTTTTGGTGTTTTTGAAAAAATAGCAAATCATGCCCATAATAGGGTTGGGCTACCTTTTGGGGGTGGGGTGATATTACGGTACATGTTAGTCTACTTTCTGCAACACTTTAGTCCCTTATTGCATGTTAGTCTACATACCAAAACATATCTAGCTGCCGACGACGTAACCACAGAAAGGTGTCCCCAAGATATCATAGATCAGTACCACACTGTTACCCGGCAGTTTCTTCTTTCCTATCATGTACCGACGCACACAAAAGTAACCTTCAGGTCGCTTTTGTGGGAGTTTGTGCTCTATGATGGTGTTGCAAACCTCAGAGCTAACGACTGCAGAAGGCATGCCAGAGACCGCACTCACCACATCCTTTCTCGTCGCTGCCGTCACCACAGTCGTCGTCTTGGTCGCACACCCATCGTTTGGTGATGCACTTGCCGTTGTTGCAGGAAAACTCCTCATGGGTACACGTCGCCGCAACTGCAGACACACAACAAGCACCAGGTCAACACCTTCGAGTCCAATGCAACCACATCTAAGCCCGATCCTGAACCAAATCATGAGCCCAAATCCCGAGCCCAAATCCTTAGCCCAATTCCTACTTCGATTTTAAACCTGTAACTGTATCTAAGTCTTCATCTGACCCCAAAAATGACCTTAAATCTGGTCTGGTCAAAGGGGCCAAAAGTCCTTTTTATTTTATTTATGCTTAACACTGCCCACAATGAATCCTTGGCATTCATAACCCATTACAACTCTGTCTCAAGTTTTATGTCCGGTAAGTGCAGCAATGGGCACAACACAACCATTCAAACCCAATTCACCGACTCAGATCATGACAGTCCCCCCATCACACGCAAGGACTCACGGCCAAAAAGCCGCCATCTGTCCCACTCCGCTTCGAAATACGGGTACGGACGGAAGAGACAAGGACAAAGAGCTCACGGCATTCATCTTTCTCGTCAGACCCGTCCACGCAGTCCTCCTGCCCGTCACACCTCCACGTAATGGGAATGCACTCTTGGCTTTTGCAGGTGAACTGTTCTTCGGAGCAGGTCTTGTTGCCTGCGGGAGAGGGAAAAACACCGCAACAATAAGAAGAGTGTCTTCCAATGCCTGGCCCAAGGCCACGGAGCTGCCACTCCATTTCGCAGCGAGCGAAAGGGGAAGATCAACGGGCGAGACGCTTCCGAGCCGACATCGCGACCTTGAAGGCCTCTACACTGCTACAATCGTGTGCCAAGTATGTCAGCGACATAAGAAGCCACAGAAACAAAAAGACTGGAAGTGCCGTTTCTTTACCCCCTCTCGCAGCCCGGGCTACTGCACGACTCCTTGTCCCACGCTCGTGAACAAGTAATCTGATTTGCGTTAATCCCCGTGGCCAGCATGAGAGCTTGGAGGAGATCCCTTAGGACGAGCTTTGCCTTCTTGGCATTCCTTGTTTTTTTGTTTTTTTTTGTTTCGTGGGGACGGTCTCAGACAAAGGATGTTTACCTAGAAATTGGATTAAGGGCATCCCTCGGAGAGGATATGGCTTCGTTAATGATGACCCTGTGACCATGTCCCCATTATACAATGCGAAATATCATTAGAAAGATGATGACGACGGCTTTGCAAAAAACGAGATACATGTACACGCCGTTCTAGTCAAGAAATTTTATCGTATTCATACCGGCTCTTGTTCTGTCCACATTTTACCATCAAACGTATTTCGTAATCACCCTCACAGCCTACAGGACACCTTTCCCGCCATTTCATTCCAAAAAGAGAACTTTAAAAAGGCAATATTATAACAATGGATGGTGAACACCTAAACCGTGGGCTGATGTAGTCTCGTTTAGGCCATCTTTCTGTATCATTTGCATTAGACACGCCAGGAAATAGATTTAATGTGCAAAACACATAAAATAAATACCTCACTAGTAGTATTTGTGCTCAAAATAGAACACTTGCTGCACGTGCCCCACGAAAACGTCCACACCACCTCGCTCCTAACATAGCCACAGATGAGCCGATACCTAGCCAACCGAGAGCCAAACCAAGCTAACAAATTCGGCCCCATAACCGTTACGAATAAAAGCAAACAACCAAAACTCGAGCCGCAATTAGAGCACCCGCACGATCGACAGCCCCTATTACCCACTTAAGCGGCGGACGACAAAAAATAAAACAAAGAAAAAAAGAACAAAAGGACTCCTCCAAATTGCGGTACCATTGCCACACCCCGACGCACCGCAATGCAAGAAACGGCGGTGGCGATCTCAAACCAACTGATCCAGATAGCAGTCGTACGAAAAAAAATTGATCTGCCAAAAGTACTGCAGTCTGCATCGAGATAGCACAACCGGGGAAGGGGGAGGAGGAGATTCCAGACAAACTTAATGAGACCAAGGTACCACGAGTGCCCGATCGACAGAATTGTCTCTGAATGTTTTTATACCTCACGCATTTTTTTTGTCACCCACGTGGTACTAATGGCTTCTAAGAAGAAAACACCAAAAAAACCCCGTAGACATTGGTCCCGAGGCATTCCTAAACTGTTCCCCATTTTGAGGATGGAGTTCCAGATAATCGCGGGCGGAAGCTTCCTTGATCCGAACGCGAGGATCACGTGGTTCTCTTGACCGGCTGATGAAATGTTGCACGAGAACGGAACAACCGTCGAGGAAGCCGACAGTGGGAGAAAAGGAAGTCTGGCAGCGATTCCCGAGAATAACTGTCTGTCATCTGCGTTTATTGCTTTCGCTATCCATCTTGGCAGGCTGGAAGCTGGCCAAACCAGTAGATTGAACCGGTCTGCAGTTGTATGCATGCCTGCCAACCCTCTTTACATAGACAGATTGAGTGTCAGTCAGTAACGTCCTTGTAGTTGGCAGTGGAAAAAGAAATTGAAGTTGGAAAATTAAGTCTTAATTTCTTGCAACCTATCGACCACTTGTTCTATTACATTTTTCGTGGTTTAAATAAAACGTCGCTAAGGGCTGCTTACATATACAGCACAGTGCCAGCTCAGTGCTATATATAGACACAGCACTGACTTTGCAATAAACCAGCACTGTGCCAGCACTTTGCTGCATGGGACCCCACCTTTTCCTGTTTACACACACAATGCAGCACTGTTTGAGAGCTTTAATTCACGTGTAAACCGGCCTTTATGGTAGAGTCCCATACTAAGGGAAAAACCTTTTCTACATCTGTGTTTTCGGCGAAATCCAACTCACTGCATGTGACGACATCCTCGTCCGACTTGTCTTCGCAGTCGTTCTCGTTGTCGCATTGCCACCGGCTGGGTATGCAGTTGCCGTTCTTACACCTGAACTCCGTCTGCGAACATGTACGCTTTTCTGCAATAGAAGAAAAGAAAAAACTAAGACCAAGCATTGTTGTCGGATCTAGGCGCAACACAAAGCACACGTCACAACGCAGTTGGGGTTCACGAGCGTTGCTATGCGGCGCACGTCAGACGCTGCGATCAAATGCAGTGTTTTCATTGTTGGCGTTGTTGTTAGGTATATAGGCACATTTGGTACAACAAGGCACCTAACCTAAGGATGTTGACAGGGTAACAATGAAGAGTGTGATGTCCTTGTCGGTCAACGTGCAAGCACTTGAAACATTATGTTCCCCCGTTGTTAAAAAGAATACTGACGCACAAGCGGTGGCACTTGTAGAAAAGAGCCTGCCATTGTTACGTGCACGATGAAGCCAACTTTCAGACGACAGACGCTAAAACACTTTGCTCACAATTCAAATCGACCTCCTACCGCAAAATCCCGACAGATACCCCACCCCCGAAAGGTAACCCCCCATTTTTGGCTTGATTTACTATTTTGTTTTCTAAACATTGAAAGATAGCTCTTTTTTTTAGTAATTGTAGCGTTTAGATCAATGATGACCTTGGCGTAAATGCGTCTAGTTAGCTATGGTGGGATATAAGGAAACATTGCTAACTGGAAAGTACAGTCATCTTTGCTTTTTTGCCCTTTGCCATGATAACATGTCTGACAGAGACACATAATCTAAAGATAGCTTTTTTTTTTTTTTTACTTTTCTCGACTGCACACCAAAAGTTGGTTCTCTTTATTTTCACCCCAATTTTTTTCTCGATTTTAGGTGGGCTATCTTGGGACATTATGGTAGTCATGAGTTAGATAAATTTGACTTTCAGGTGATTGATACGCTTCGCCCGCAGTTTAGATCCACTTCAAGTGGTGGACATATATATAATACACTCCGTATCGCCTTGCAATGGACCACAGCAGACGCCATAAGCCATCGCACCCGATTTAGCACTGCAAACATCCTCATGTGTGGACCTAAGTAAAATTAAAAGGAAAGACTCTCTCCCCCATTTCGCTCCAAAAACCTAACAGTTGACCTGCTAAACTTTAGGCCGCGTTTATACTTGCGTCCTACCCTATCAATTTAATTCCATAACCCTATATTTAGACCTTTTTGGAAACTGGCCTTGTGGTTCAAACTGGCCACCTCCTCCCTGAAGGCAGTAATAGACGTGAATGAGAACCCAACAAAAGCTTTTCCAAACAAAATTAGATTTGCGGCTGGGTTGCAATGTTATTGTTGGGAAACCTTATTGGCACGCGAGAAATTAATGGTAGGTATATGTGCAACAACATATGCTGAAGCTAAGTGCAATGTGTGACCAAATGTGCTAAAGCCAAGTGCAATGTGACAAAATATGCTACAGCTACGTGCAATCTGCGACCAAATATGCTAAAGCTAAGCAATAGTCTAAAGCTAGTGCAATATGTGGGAAAATACGGTAAAGAAAAGTAACAAAACCCGAGCTAAAAGGTTTTCAAATAAAACAAAGCAGCAGAAAACTAAGGTATCAGATGGCATGCAAAACGACCAGAATAACGCAGACAAAATGTCTGCTAAACATAAAGGTTAAAAAAATCATCGCACGTGCTTATGAAAGGCATTACACACGCCTATTACAACAAACCAAAGCAGAACACTGCGAATTCAACAAAACGACTGGGAAGAATGCCAACCAAGCCTAGACCGAGTCAGCTAAAGGAAAGCGCCACTCAAAACGAAAAAGAAAAAGAACAGAAAAGAGAAGGCCGTGACGTCAAAAATCGGGCGTTTCCCCAGCAGCCAATGAGAAGGCGAGGTGTGGCGCTACGTCACACGCGCGCAATTACGGGCGAGGAGGATGAGAAAAAAAAATAGGAGGGAAGAGGTTTATAAAATAGAGAAAGGGCAATGAAAGGAGGAGAGGACGGAGGGAGAAAATAGCAGACGACTTCCAGGGATGGCGGTCGTCTGCCAAACCAATTTTACCCGTCTGCGTTCAAAATAATAGCCGTTCCCCTGATAGCTTTATAGCTTCGTTGCAGACGACGCAGAAGGGAAAGTCTGGTCAACCCGTGTCGAGCCATCGAGTAGTAAATAAATAAGGTGGAAGAAATGAAGCCAACGTAACTCCTGTGTTTATCGTTACTGCGGAAACTAAGAGCGTATTTGTGGCGCTCCAAACTCGGTGGCCTAAAGAAAAAACTAAGAAAAAAAGGAAGGGGTTGTAGCAGACAACGCTAATTTTCAACTAAAAAAAAAAACGAGGCTCAATTATGCCTGTTTTTACCTCAAAAACCGAAGTAAAAAACAAAGACCGGCAAGATATATGCAGGTGCATTTTAGGTTAGATATATGTTATCTTATCAAGACGTACGCGTTCCAAACGCGAAAAACATAGCTTTTTCCTCCGACAATCAAGTTTCGTATGAACTACTTCGCAGTGCGTATGAACACAATGCGCAAAACTTTTTTTCTTGAGGTGAAAACGGGTATAGTTCGCTCGCCCAACTTACTCAAATATCTATTTTTTTCTGCACCTGGTAAATCAATAAATTCGACCCTCTACGACTTATCTCATCCTCGGGCGAAAAGATGTCCTTCAACTACATCATCGCGACATTCGTTCAAGTACAAATCAAGTTTAAAAACAAAAACCCGACCTCTGTACCTCGTTCCTCGTCGGTAGCGTAACGGCGCGTAACATCGTACACCGACACCAAAGAATTTTTTACGCGAGGTAGACAACCTTGAACTCGGACAGCGGCGGCATTTTCTTTTTCTGTCTATATACACAAACAGGGAGGGAGGCACCAAAATAGAGACTAAAAGTAAACAGCGAAGCGCACTTATCTCACAGCCCTCGGGGGCTCCCGCACACAGAAGCGGGTCAGCATCGCCAAAAGTGGGTGAAGGGCGAGCCACTCCTCTCCCAACTTCGAGAAGCACAACATCACGCGACCAATCTTTTCCATACACCTCACACCGTGCACATTAAATCGCTACGAAGTAACTCCTCCCACCCTCCTCCACCCCATTAAAAAAAAAAAAAAGAAAGATAGCGGCGACGCTACGTTAGCAAAATCCTCCATCTAGCGAAGGGTCGTAGTGCGTAGTTTACTCGTATAAATCGAGAAAACTGCGCGAATTGTGGGGTCGTTGCTCTCGCCTGAGTAAATGCAAGCTATGCTCGTGTGCTCCGTTTTACCTCACGATGGACCGCTAAGTACGCTGCGAGTTATCCGAGCCAATCCAATGTCACGTGACGTGACACGTCACCTCCAGAAGGAGCGCAAAGGTGCGAGGTACGCCTAGTCACGTGTTCAGTGTTGGCTGAATGGGAGGACTCGGTGCATCCGCCGCGGTATATCGTAAAATAATTTAAAAACATAATAAAAAAAAATGTTGACGTTTTCACGAAACGACTGTAACATAAAAAAGCGGATCAGGCAAAACGAAAGTCAACCAAGTCTCAAGAAAAAAAAAAAGAGCATGAAGTTTGGAGCGCGTCACGCTTGACATGCTACGCAAAGCTAACGACGCACGCAGCAGAGGTCGGGTGAAACCGAGCGCTCCATTGTGACCAACGACATTCGAAACGGTGAAGTGGTATACAAAAAATGCACGCAGTTCCGCGAAAGCCTACATCGCCAACACTTTCTAACCGACTTCTCGGATGATGATTTCTTCGGCCTCGGTTAAGCTTTTATTCATTCATTCCCGCGGTTAACCGATGAGCCGCAGGTCACGTTGCTAATACATCGTACGAAAGACGCAAACACAGTCGAAGGCGCGTTTCGCCTTAGGCTAGGTGGCGCAAGCTACCGCCCGTCACAAAGGGTATAGCCATTAACATCCATCCATCCATCATCTCTTGCATTGACGGCCCTGTCAGATTGGTCATACTGGGGCCCTAATCTGGACACTTGGCGAGAAACTCGGCGAGAAATCTGGCGGGCGTGATTGGCCAACGCCGCACTTGATCTTGGCGCCGGCCAATCAGAGCCGCGGGATTTCTCGCCGACTTTTTCGCCAAGTGTCCAGATTAGGGCCCCCGAAGCAGGCATACGAAGGAAAGATACTTCGAGTACAGTGGCTTAAAAAGGGTAGTGTAGCTATCGCGTAGCCTTCACCATGCATCGGGAACGCCCGTGCATAAATAATTCACTGTTTATTTCGGAAGTACTAACAGGTAACACTGTTTACGAGGACGAACTTTTATTGTAATAGCTTATTTATGTAACAGAGCTGACTAATAACTAATAACTAACTAACGAATAACTAATAACTAAAATAGCTAAAATAACACTGTTTACGAGGACGAACTTTTATTGTAATAACTACGTCTTGAAAGGCTCGCCGAACTAGTCAAATTCCGTGCGCAACAGAATGTTCCCCATCACTTTCCGAAATGGAGGTTGCAGGATTTTTGGCGCGAGCCACTGTCGAGACTCGCACTCGACCAGCAAATGCACGGTAGATCGTAAAGTACGTATGGTAATTGTAATCCATTACTTGATTGTCCTTTTTTTTTAAATTATCAACGCGCACAAAAGTGTCTAGGACGCGAGGCAAACGGCCCAAAGGTGTCAATGTAATGCCGCCGCCACCGTCGTCGTCTGCTACTATCTCCTGCAGACGATACGCGTGCATCGCGTGTCGTCTACTATCTGACCGCGTTTCTTTTTTCTTGTTCGTTTGTCAGGATTATTCGCGTTAATAACCGACCTCGCAAATAAAATATAAATGACAATTATAGCGCCGCTCTGAGATCCGTTTACGACACACGCGATAAACATTTAGGGACGCAGTGTGTCATTTCGTCACAATAAAAAAAAAAAAAAAAAAAGCAGTTGGAGGTCTTGATATAAGGACGTTTTCACCAGCATCCAAGATACAAAACGGAACACTGAAGACGCTTGTTTTCAGTGTTCCAGTCAGGCAACCCGTCAGTAACCAAAATCACAGTAGAAATGGATCACCAAACAATAAAACAGATCGCCCGCTTGTACACAGCACATTG